TCTTTATAAGGTTGGAGGAAAGGCGGAAAGAATGGGGGACGATGGCCAAGGGGTATGAATGTAGAGAAGGGGCAAAGGGGGAGCCCAGAATGAAGGGCTTTCTCCATATATACAGGACGGCTGAGGGAGGGTTAGGAGGTCTGGGGGAGGAGAGGAGAAGATCTAGAACAGTCCCCAAAAGGGGACAGTACCGTAGCAGGTCCGTTACGGAGGAGTGAAAGGCCCAGCTTCCAGCAGTGAAGGTCCACTGAGAACAAAGTATGTCGATTTGTAGGGGACCCCATCACCCCGGCGTGTGGCTCCCCCCAGCCCCAGCCCTCTGCAACAGTGGTGGAGTAAGTAAGACCAGAGATGGGGGAGGGTGGCAGAATCTGGGAAGGGGGTTTGTCCTGAATGAAGTGTTAACTGTGGACACGGGGGCAAGGGAGCAGACATGCTCTGATGTCAAACTTGTTAACCAAGAGGTCAAGACTGGGAAGCCAGGGGAAAGCAAAGCCAGCGCAAAGACGATGATGACTGGGAAAAGTCCCGGGGAGCAGAGTCTAGAATTCCTGGGAAATGGGAATAACTGCAGGGTAGGAGGGGTAAGACCTAAGGAAAGATGGTGGACAGGAGAGGTAGACACGGAGGTCTAAGAGGCATTTCAGAATGCTCGCTCATGGAATAGCTGGTGGCGGCCCGATCCCTTGGGTGGGGGCCATGGACCCAACAAGGGCCCTGAGGAATTGGGGGGGGCTGTTAGAGGGGACATTAACATACACATCCAAATCCCTTAGTAAAGACAAGCATTAGGGTGACTTCAGGGAGGAGGGAGGAAGGAGAAGGCCCCAAGGGCCTGGAAGAGAACAGTCCCAAGGGTGTCCACTGACTGATGTCTTGGGATCTGAGAAGCTCAAAGCACGGATGGTTTCTGGGTGATGGTGGTGGAGGGAGGGTCAGGGAGGACAGTGGAGAACCGGCTCGTTGGCGGCCACGGGCAAAGGGGCATTCGGTACTGGAAAGGGTGGCCGGGAGATGGAAGAAGGAGAGGAGAGGGTGCCGGGATAAACAGGAGAGCAGGCTCCCGGAGGGCGCTGGGTCAGGGCCAGGCAGAGCTGGGAGGGGGAGGCTTAGGGATGTGGGGACCAGAGCAGGAAGTGACGGGGGAGGGGAGCGGTCCTTGGGGTTGGGAGAGAGACTTCCCTGTGTATTCCCCTCACCTTCTGGTCTAAAGAAACCCCAGCCCCCCTCCTCAGAACTCTTCCTTCTCCTATTTATTCAGCCCTCATAATGCCAAGCCCCGGGGAAACAAAGAAAAAGTGAAACTGATTCCTGTCCACAAGGAGGTCACCTTCTAACCAGGTCGATTGTGCCAAAAGCAGATAGAGGGCCATCTGAGAGGGGACAGCACTAGCCGCTGGAGAAATCAGGAAAGGCCGCCTTGTAGAAGGAAAAGGTAGCCAAGGTGCGCCACAGTGCACACAGTCCCAGGCCTGGAGTCAGGAGGATCTGAGTTCAAATCCAGCCTCAGACACTTCCTAGCTGTGTGACCCTGGGCAAGTCACTTCACCCTGCTTCCTCAGCTGTAAAATGAGCTGGAGAAGGAAATGGCCAACCACTCCAGTATCTTTGCCAAGAAAACCCCGAATGGGGTCACCAAGAGTCACGACTGAACAACGAGATGGGAAATTGAAAGCCGAAGGTGAGGAAGCTGGGAGGCGCCTGAGGCGAGATGTGATGAGAAGCAGCAGGTGGGCCCCCGTGGCTGGACCTGTGGCCCCAACCAGGGAGGCCCACGGGCCGAGGTTAGTGCTGAGCGCCAGGCCCGTCGGCCACCCCCTCGCCAGGCACTGCCACCTCCTGGTCTGTCCCCACGGTCCTGCCAACCTTGTAGGCATTGCCCCTGGGACCTGGGCTTCCCCCTCCAGAAAGCCTCTCCCAGTCTCCCCGGGCTGGGCTGCAGCCTGTGCTTGCAGGGGCTGAGGCGGACCAAAGCAGGGGAGGGGGCAGGAGGAGGGAGAGCAAATGTCCCAAGGCAAGGGGGGCTTCGGGCCTGAGGGGAAGAGGTCCAGCTCTCAAGGCCCCTTCTGCTGAGGGCCCTTGGTACTGGGAAAGGGGGAGGGGCGCAGGTGTGAGAAGGACCCTAAGGCTGCCACATCACCCTGCTGAGCTTGTGGTCCACTGAGACCCCCAGATCTCATCAGAGCCACTGCTGGCTGCTCTCCCATCCTGTGCTCTGGAGGCTGATTTTCCGAACCCCAGCACAAAACTTTCCTTCTGTTTATCCTTCCTGAATTTCATCTTATTAGATCCCCCCAGTGTGTCATTACCCTGGCCAGCTGCGAGTCACCTACAACCCTGCTAAGCATTCCATTTTGGCCTCCTCATCCAAGACTTTGATTAAAGCACGAAGGGCACAGAACCAAGGCCTGATCCCTGCGGCACTCCACTGGAGACCTCAGCAAGGCTGATGGGGAACTGGCCCCTCTCAGAGTCTGACCTTTTACCCACTTCTGAATGTCCCCATCTCTCTATCTTTTCCCCAAGAGGAGTTGTTGTTCAGTCACGACCCCAGTTGGGGATTTCTTGGCAGAGATTCTGCAGCCGTTTGCTATTTCCTTCTCATTTAACAGACGAGGAAACTGAGGCAAATAGGGTCAAGTGACTCCCCCAGGGTCACGCAGCTACTAAGTATCTGAGGCTGGATTTGAACTCATGCCGATAAGTCTTCCTGACTCCAGGCCTGGTGCTCTGTGCACTGTGGCGCCCCCTAGCTGCCCCAAGTAGAGTGAGAGATCCTTTAGTAAAGGCTTTGCTGAAATCCAGGGCACGCACTTCCCCTTTTGCCCAGCTGAGTCGAACATGGAACCCAAGCTGTTCTTGATGAACGTCGGCTGGCTTTGGCGATCTTCATGCACATTTGTAGGGGGACGCTAACCATCTCTGTAACGCTCCATTCTAGAACCTCCCAGCGATCAAAGCCAGATCGACTGGTCTGGAGTTTGCCTGGCCTGTGCCCTTCCGTAAAAACATCCCGGGGCATTTACCCTTCTCAAGCAGTTTGTAGCCTCTCTTATTTTCAAGTCCTCCCTCCCAACACCACCGATGGGGGCTCGGCGCTCTCCTCTGCCACTCGCTTCCGGGCCAGATGACACGCACTCACCCAGGGGCACTGTCTCCTTGCTTCTCTTGGCTAGTGACTGCTGACTGGTCATTGCTATTGACTTGTGTTTCCTCCACTGACTTTTGCCCATCGGTCTCCAGTACGCTGCCCCACTTGGAATTCTAGCCCTCATTCTCTGACTCGGTCTTGCGAACCTTCTCCCACCTCAACCTTCCAGTTCAATGTGACCTAGATCAGCACAAGGCCTCCCCATCATTCAAGGTCTGCTTTGGTGCCGGCTTCTCCAGGGAGCCTTCTAGGAAGGCTTGAGAGCCAACCCAAAGTGGGCCCCGCCCCCTCAGAGCCCCGACACTCACCGCCCACGCACGCTTTCAGCTCATGGGATGAGTCAGGGCTTCGAGGGCCCTGGAGACCCTCACACCCCGCCTTCACTTCACAGATAGGGACACCAAGACTTGAAACCAATTGTCAGGCACTGGCCAGGATCGTGAGCTCTCCCTGCAAATATGGGTCCTATACCCCCAGACAGATGGAGAGCTGAGAAGACAGGGAGCTGGAGGAGAGGGACCAGGGAATGCTATCGAGTGTTACTCACTTCCAAAGACCAAATGAAGAAGAAGTCCACTAGGGACCAACTTTTCCTCCAGCGTTCGTGATCCCCAAGTCAGAAACCGCCGGCGGCTGCTGAAACCTGCCTACCCTCCCCAGCCCCCAGCCCCGCCCGCCCAGGGCTGCTCAGGACTCACTTTCAGCCAAATGTGACCGGTTAGGGAACTCTGTCATCTTTGTGGGACAGACCCAAGGGGCAGAAGGCACTCGGCTTCCTGAAGGGACAGAAAATGGGAGGCAGAAAGAGATCAGCAGCCGCGGCTAGGAGGACAGATCAGGACAGGGCCCCCCGGCTCTCCCAGAGACGAGGAACCCCATGTCCTCTGGAGAGTCAAGGGAAGACAGACGGGAAGGACGGAGGGATGTCTGACTCCAGAGGGAAGAGAAAGGCTTAGGTGGAGGGCAAGGAGAACGGACGGCCAACCAGACTGCTGAGAAATAGATTGTGGGGGAGGGAGCAGATCTCCCCAAGAGATTCAGGGAGTGGAGGGGAGCCATAGTCCATGATTCAGAAGAGACACATTTTTTCCAGAAACAACTAGAAACCCACCCCCCTTCAAGCAAGTTTGGCCGTCAGGTTCTTAATATAGCCTTCGATTCATAACAAGCTAGGGAGTGGCCTGGGAATGCAGGAGGAGGTTTGGGGGAGCACAAGAAGGCTCTGCTCCACCCAGCTCCACCCCAGCAGGCCTGCCATGCCAGGAGAGGGCTCAGGGACCGGGGAATCTTTGAGGCAGCAGCTGGGCTGAGGGCAGAGTCAAATTCCAAAAGTTCTGAAGTAGAACTGACAGGGACTTTTTGAAGTTGGGGGTAACCGTCCCTTTGAATTTGTGAATTTTGGGGGAGCCTCGCCTATGTGTGCCTTGGAATGGGGCAGAGCAGGTTTCAGAGGGTCAGCAGGAAGGGTGGGTAGGACCCCTTCATGGCAGAGAGTCTCCAGGGAAAGTCTACGGAGGAAAGAAGGATGGGAAATTGCCAAGGAAGCAGTCCCAGTGGGGACAGAAGTGAGATGTGGGTAAGAAGGGAGATGGGGCTTCACGGGGAGCTCCTGGGCCAGCTGAGGATCTAGTCTGAGGGTGGACTCACGAGCACCCTGGCACCTTCTCTTGGCTTGGAGAAAGGCGGCTGACAGCAAGCTTATCAGAGAACAAAGCTGGGGGCCCAGGCGAGATTCCAATCTGAGCGTCCCAGGCATCTGAGGCCCACCCTCCTCCTCCTCCTCCTCCTCACTTCTGCCTCCTAGCCATGACAGCCCTCCCACGGCCAGTACGACTCAATGTTTGCCCACCTCGATTTGGTTTGCCTGAGCTCTGGGTCATTGACCATAGCCCTCTGTGAAATGGGTGTGAAGGCTCCTGTCCTGGGTGGGGTCTGGAATCAGAGGACTTGAAGAAGCCGACCCTGGCTGGCCTTGTGAAAAGAGAGTCTTAGGTAGAAGCCTGAATTCAGAGTGGGGAGAGGTCTTCAGAGCCCGTCCTGCAGCAGAGAAAGTTCCACGATTGGGACAAGGGGCATTTGGCCGGTGCTTACAAGCCTCCAGCAAGCATTGAGATCCGCACCTCCCCGCCCCTCCAGCCCCTTCCCCTGGTGGTGACTCTCCCTCCCCCACCTGAGGGGCTCAGGAGGCTATTCTGGCAGGACAGGCCCTCTGGCCAGCCTCACCGCCCCTCCGTGAGCAGGATTCTCACTCGTCCCTCAGCTTTCCAGAGGTTATCAGCCAATTCCCTCATTCCCTTCCCTGACAGAGGCTGTTTACAGACTGAGACCTGAGGGAAGGCCTTTCTGCCAGGCCTCTGGGGAGTCCAGAAGGGCCAGGGGATTTCCTGGAGCTTTCTCCCTCCCTTCCACAATCCTGTTTGCCTCCCACTGCAGCCCAAGGGCCTATCTGTCCTGAAGAAGTGGCCAGATTTTCCTGGGAGGCCCCCCCAGCCTCCTGCTGAGGCTCTCCCCTTCCCCATCATGCCTGACTTTCCTCCCCTCTGACCTCACTGACCATCTAACCCAGTCGTCTCATACAGATGGGGAGACTGAGACCCAGAAATTCACCCAACAAAAGAGGACTGGAACCCAGCCCAATCCACACTTATATAAGAATCTTCTCCACTACCCACCCCAATCTCCTGAGTTTTCCACCATGCCACGCTGGGCAGGGGCACCCCCACTTGTTCTACAGAAAAGGAAACTGAAGGCCAGAGTGGGAGGCCCAGAGCCCCAGGGCCCTGGGACCCCTGCCCACTGCTTGGGCCCCTCTGCCTCTGGACAAGGATTAGGACCCGAGTCTGGCTTCCCAGGCCAGGCCTGTACAGGGCCAGATGTGCTAATGGCATTTCCCTTTCCAAGAGCCTCTAACCTTGTAGCACTAACCTGGGGGAGGGGGAGGCAGGAGGGAGAGAATGAAGCGCCCAACATAAGGATCTCCATGTGCAGGGTCTTTCTTTTCCCTCTCCTCTGCTACCTGCAGACCTGGGGGGCTGGCCAGTGCCAAGGGGGAGAGGACCCAGAGAAGGCTTTCACTCCTGGAGGCCTGTGTCTCAGGATATGCCAGCTCCCACACCAGCAGAGGGGGAAAGGACTTGGCCAGGGACACAGGTCCTCTGCTTTGGATTCAGTTCTCTGGCTCCTGGAAGTGTCTGCAATGCAGGAGTCACCAAGAAGCCTCGGTCCCCTCCCCGCTTCCCCAGGTCACCCCGCCCTTGAGGAATGGCCATGGCCCCATGAAGGGCAGCCTTGCCTCCCCACTCAGCCAGGTAGGACAGAAAAACAATGGACAGCCTGGTCAGGGCTTAGAGGTGGCCTGGGAGTTAGAGGATCCGGGTTTTCGTCCCCCAGCTCTGCCCCTAACTTTCTGGGGAACTTGAAATCACTTCTACTTTCTGAGCCTCAGTTTCCTGATCTGTAAAATGTGAGAACAGTGTCTGTCCTGCCCTGCCTCACAGCTTAGGCCAGGCCTTGGGTCTGGCTTTGAGAAAGTAGAGGGGCTGGACAAAGTGTGGGAGCCCCAGGCTTGGAACGCTCTGGCTGGCCCCGCCCTCTTCACAGCCTGGCTGACCCCCTTTCCCCGGCCTCTAAAGACAGAGATGGGGTGAGGAGCTGGGCCTCTGCCCCTCCCTCCCAGGAGCCGGGGTGGGGGAAGAGTGGGGAGACTGGTCTGGTCTGCTCCCCAACACTGATAGGAGGGAGGAACGGGAATGAGGAGGGGCAGAGGGGGAAGGGAGGAGACAGCCAGTCAATGCCCTCCCAATATGGTCCCAGGAGAAGCTGTTGGTGGGAGGTAACTCGGGTGCAAATGAGCCCTGTTCTCAGGCCCCAGGCTGGTCTTCCACCCAAAATCTGGCCCATCCTTGTCCCTATCTGGTGAGACTTCTGAGATGAGGCCAGGGCACCTACCCCGCACAGGGAGGGCCGGGGCACCCACCCCGGACAGGGAGGGCCGGGGCCAGGCTGTTACTGCTCATGGCGTCTGATTCTCTGCGACCCCATTTGGCAGAGATCCTGGAGGGGTTGGCCATTTCCTTCTCCAGCTCATTTTACAGAGGAGGAAACTGAGGCAAACAGGGTGAAGTGACTTGCCCAGGGTCACCCAGCTAGGAAGTATCTGGCCTTAGACACTCTGTGCACTGTGGCGCCCCCTAGCTGCCCAGGTCCCAGGACCGAGATGTGGCTCTGGGGGCTGCGGTCAGCCTGCCTCAGACACTTACAAGAGGCAGGCCTGTGGACAAGTCATTTACCTCTCAAGGTCGCATTTATGAAGAGCGGAAGCACCAGCCAATCCCTGCCCTCAGGGAGCCTCCATTCTAGAGGAGGAGATCAAGGGTCATCTCTTTGACCTTGGTGCTGGCGGGGGCCCTGGGCAGGGGAGGGAGGAGGGGCCCGGGAGCATTGGTGTCTAATGAGTAGGGCATGACTGGTCACATACAAAAAGTGTGGTCACCCTAGAAACCACAAGCATGGGGAAGGATGAAAGGGGGGACGGTGAGGGCGTGAGCCGGGATCCCAGAGGCCAAGGTCCCTCAAGCGTGGGGGCTGGGAGGGTGCTGCTGCCCCCACAGTAATGGGGAGCTCTGCTCTGGAGAAGTCCTCAGTGTCTACAGGGCGTCCAGTCAGAGATGTCCACTAGGCGGTGAGAGATGAGAGACCACCGGCGGGAGCTGGAAGACCATCAAGGACAACGGAAGGGGCAGGCGAGAAGAAGTGAGCTGCCAGGCTCACCTAACAGAGCCGCGTCTGAGGTCAGATCTGAACTCAGGTCTTCCTGACTGCAGGTCCGGGGCTCTAGGTACTCAGCCACCCAGCTGTCCTTGATTTCATGGTCTCTGTATCTTGTATCCCATCATTCAATTAAGGCCAGGAGCAGAGAGATAGTAGCCTAGGTGCCTCTCATGAGGAAATGTATAGCCTCTCTGGTCTCAGTTTCCTCATCTGTGAAATGGAGGCAATAACAACACCTAGTTTTTTTTGTTTTATCGGGGGGGAGTTTGAGGCAGCCTCAAGCTGCTAACCAGAGCCCAGGGAGCCTGGGCGGGATCCAGATTACCAGTGGAGGGGTGATGGGCCAAGTCAAGGCAGTGTGACTGGGGCAGGACCTTTGCTTAAAGACCTCCAGCCACAGGAAATTCACCACCTCCCAGGGCAGCTCAGTCTGCCTGCAGACAACTGGAATTGGCAGACAGTTCTACACCCAGCCTGAACTTCTGCATCTCCGCCTTTTTCCTGCCAGCCCCCACGGCTCCTTCCTCCCCCTTAACTTTAGTCCCATCTGTACACACTGTCCAGCGTACTCACTGACAGAAATGCTCCAAAAGCTTTCTATAATCTGATAGGAGAAAGCCTTCATCCACTCAGTCTTTCTTGTGTGGATGGTCGGGCCAAAGTCCTTTGAGTGACTGCCAGTCTCTTCTGGGAGGCCCTCCAGTGTTCTGGGGCTTGATGCTATCAGCCCAATGCCATGTGTAAGGGGGTGAGAGGGTCTGGGGGCCTTCGCCCTTATCCTACTTCCGGGGCAGTGCTCGCCTCAGCGATCACCCACCTCCCTGCCTTAAGCCTTGGCTGAGGCGGAGGCTTAAAGTGGTTTTATCTTCCAAGGAATTCTGAAGTTTGGCTGACTGAGGGCAAGACAGTTTGTGGAAAGGGCCCTTAACCTGCGGTCTGTGATCTTGGCTTGTTAACATTCATTGCATTTCCATAGAATGGGTTTCTTTGTCAGCTATGATTATACTTTGCTTTTACGAATGAGGGTGGGGGTGTCCCCCAACTTCACTGGAAGCCTGCCCAAGGGGTGTGTGAGGGGGAAAGGATTAAGAACTCTGACAGACATACCGAGCCCAAGGCTTTTTAGGAAAGAGCCCATCAACAATGAGCCCTGGTCTCTCCACCCGTGCGGATCAGGACGAGCAGCCTCTGGGGGCCCTCTGATCCCGGCAGGTCCAGGAGCCCGCTTCCAGAGCAGACCATCCTCGTGAAAAGCCGGGGCAGAGAGAAAGGCCTGTGGGTGCACGGTTACTGGGGCGTCAGTAAGGTCTGAGGTCCAGTCTCCCTTGGTATCTCTGCTCCCTCCAGGCCCGCAGCTGGGGCCAATTTTCTGAAGCCAAGCAGGAGATGCTGTGGGCATCCCACGGATCAGCCTCCCTCTGACTGGGCTGGGCTCTGTGCTCTGGCCCACCACTGCCTTCCGGAATCCTCACTCCAGGGATCTGGCTCTCCTTTGATCAGTGACCATCTTGTGAGCAGGCACAGGTACAGGGGGATGGGATGGGGGGGCGCCTCCCCTGGGACCCCCTGCAAGTCAGCATGCTATAGAACCATTGATAACTACGCTTTGGGCTCCAGGAATTCCATCAGTCAGTCAGTCAACTGGCATATACCAGATGCCTGCTATGTGCAAAGGCACAGTGGATCGAGCGCTGGGCCTGAAGGAAGACTCATCTTCCTGAGTTCAAATCCAGCCTCAGAAATGTACTAGCTAGGAGACCCTGGGCAAGTTACTTCACCCTGTTTACCTCAGTTTCCTCATCTGTAAAATGAGCTGGAGAAGTAAATGGCAAAAAATCTTCCAGTGTCTCTGCCAAGAAAACCCCACAGGGGGTCATGGAGAGTCGGACACGAGTGAAAATGACCAAACCACAGCACCAAAATGTGCCAGGCACTGTGCTGAGTGCAGGGGACACAGAGAGACCAAAGCAGCACCTGCCCTCACGGAGCTCTCACCATCACTTCTGAATCCTTGTGCAGGAATAGCAAACACTCCCTGAAATCTCCATGACTGCCAATAGCCTTCTCCCACTCTACCTAGCCTGGAGGCTGCCTCCTGCTCCCCTCCCTTCACCACAGCCTGGGAGAACTCCCTGCCCTCGGCTGACCTTCAGTTCAAATGGTTTGCTTCTAGGAAGAGACAATCCTTTTGCTGCCGCCCCCCCCCCCCCTTGCTCTTTGGCCTGGAGACCCCCCCTCCCCCCATGCTCTTTGGCCTGGAAATCCCC